GAATGGAAGGTACAGAGATTTTTCCATATACAGGACTGCCCACCCCTCCTCGGTTCACAACCCCCTGGGGAGCTTCCCGGGTGAAATATGAAACCAGCCTCTGACTGCAGGTGGCAGGGAGAGAGAAGGAAAGAGGCAGGCCACTCCAGGCTGGTAGGTGGCAGTTTTAATCAGCAAAGGGATTAATACAAGGCAGCAAGATGAGTGGATCCCTGCCCACGCCCACCACATACAAAGAGGCTTCACCTGGATTTAGTCAAGTGCACTGTGCAGGTGTTCTCAACACCACATTGCTATCTCGAGGAGGTATCGTTGGAGCGGCTTCTGGGAGCAGAAAAGGCAAGTGGGACCCACGTTCTAAGACAGGGAAGCGGATGAGGAGCCTCCTGGGTCCAACTCACAGGTTGATAGCAGTCACGTCTTTTGGATGCCCTCCCCCAACACCCCTGCCACCACATGTGCACAGCCTTCCACACTATCCAAAATCTGCATCAGAGTGGTACATCTGTTACAATCAGTGAAGCTACATTAACACATCATGACCCAAAGTCCACAGCTTACGTTAGGGTTCACTCTTGGTCTCGTACATTCCATGGGTTTTGACAAAAGTATGAGGACACCTATCCACCATTATAGTTTCACTGCCCTAGAAATCATCTGTGCTGTGCCCACTCATCCCTGCCCACCCCCCCAAGTGCCTGGCAATCTCTCATCCTTTTCTGCCTTCATAGTTTTGCCTTTTCCAGAAGGTCATAGAGTTGGAAACACAGTATGTATCCTTTTCAGATTGGCTTCTTTCACTTAGTAAAGTGAATTTATGTTTCCTCCATGTCTGTTCGCGGCATGATAGCTCATTTCTTGTTAATGCTGAATAATGTTCCATTGTCTGGATAAACTATACAGCTTCTTTATCCATTCACCTATTGAAGGACATCTTGTCTGCTTCCCAGTCTTGACAGTTATGAATAAAGCTTCTGTAAACATTTGTGTGCAGGTTTTTTTATATAACAATTTTTAACCTTATTTATTTATTTTGAGAGCGAGCGAGCATGAGCTTGAGTAGGGAAGGGGCAGAGAGGGGAGACAGAATCCCAAGCAGGTTCCGAGGTCTCAGGGTGGAGCCCGACATGGGGCTCGAACTCATGAACCCTGCGATAATGACCTGAGCCTAAACCAAGAGCCAGATGCTTAACCCACTGAGCCACCCAGGTGCCCTCGTGTGCAGGTTTTTGTGTGGGCATTAATTTTCCCCTCATTTGGGTAAATACTAACAAGTGTGATCAATTGCTGGATGGTGTGACAAGAGTGCATTTAGTTTGGAAAGAAGCCTCCAGACTGTCTTCCAAAGTCGCATTACCATTTTGTGTTCCCACCAGCAACGAATGAAGAGTTCCTGCTGCTCTGCATCCTTATCAGCATTTGGTGTTGTCAGTATTTTGGATTTTGGCCATTCTAATAGTTGTGTCGTGGCTCACATTGTCGTTTTGGCCTAGATTCTTGAATAATGTCAACGGCATAATGAGAAAAGCTGAAGAAAAGAAAAGCTAAAAGATTAGAGACTACTAAATAGAGGAGACAAAAAGGATTCTGGACTGCAGCCTGTCTCCAGGGAAAAAATGTGCACGAAAGACATTATGAGAACAGTTGACAAAACTGGAATAATGTATCAATGTGAAATTTCCTGGACTGGATCGTTGTCTGTAGATTTGCTTTTAGAACCTACAAACTGACAGATTAAGGGCCAAGTGGGCTTGATGTATGCGACCTACTCTCAAATGATTCAGGGAAAAAAACCCCTATAAATAAAATAGAGGAAATGTGGTGTAATATTAGCAATTTATGAATATGGATCATGGATACATAGGAGTTGTTTGTACTATCCGTGCAACTGTTCTGCAAATTACTTAAAAATAAAAAGTTTAAAGCATTAGAAAAATAACAGGTCTGCCTTTAACATCCCACCCCTATCTCTGGAAGCACACATACAAGTTTCTCCAGCATATTCTTGAAGAGTGGAATCGCAGACTGAAGGTGTGTGCATCTTCAACTTGATCAGCTGAATAGTTTACAAAGGGTCACTGACATCCGCATTAATTCTGTTTATCCATCGTCTTCCTCTCATTGAGAGGTAAGGTCGTTGGCACTGCCACCAAGGTGTATAGGCCTTGGACCCGCAGCATCAGCCTCACCAGGATGCTGGCTAGAAATGCAAATGCCCAGACCCTCACCCCAGACCTTCTGAGTCGGAAACTCTGGGGCACCGCCTAGGAATCTGCGTTTTCACAAGCGCTCTAAGCGATCAAAAGGTTTTAAGCGGCGCTGCGATCCGCTAGGGCCGCGTCCGGCTTGCAGACTACCAGCTCCAAACAAATGAACAAAGGAGCCCCCAGAGCCCGGTGCAGAACCGGAGGGCAGCGCGCCATCCCCAGGGTACCCTCCCCGGCGCGGGCAGCTTCTCCCGGACCCCCCGGCCGGGTGGCTGGGTGGGGAAGGGCGCAGGACTGGGCGGGCCGGAGGCTGGTGTCCCCGCCTCCCAAGCCTTGGGCTCGCCGCGTTGCGCAGTCCTCCGCCTCCCTTGCCTTCTCGTCCCCTTCCTTCCTTCCTTCCTTCCGCCGGGCGCGATGGAGCCGGGACGCGGGGCGGCCGCGACGCTGCTGGCGCTGCTGTGCGCAGTCTGTGCGCTGCGCTGCGGGCGCGCCCAGTACGAGCGCTACAGCTTCCGCAGCTTCCCGCGGGACGAGCTGATGCCGCTCGAGTCGGCCTACCGGCACGCGCTGGACCAGTACAGCGGCGAGCACTGGGCGGAGAGCGTGGGCTACCTGGAGATCAGCCTGCGGCTGCACCGCCTGCTGCGCGACAGCGAGGCCTTCTGCCACCGCAACTGCAGCGCCGTGCCCCAGCCCGAGCCGGCCGCCGGCCTCGCCCGCTACCCCGAGCTGCGCCTCTTCGGGGGCCTGCTGCGCCGCGCGCACTGCCTCAAGCGCTGCAAGCAGGGCCTGCCAGCCTTCCGCCAGTCGCAGCCCAGCCGCGAAGTGCTGGCCGACTTCCAGCGCCGGGAGCCCTACAAGTTCCTGCAGTTCGCCTACTTCAAGGCAAGTCGGCCCGCCCCGCCTCCCGAGCCCCGCCCCCAGGCCCGGGCCCC